GGGAGTGTGTTTGTCACTCTCACAGATGGAGCCTATGAACCAGAGGCTGGAGGAAAAAACACTCCAAGCCTTTAAGGAGAAGGAGAAACAATAACAGACCAATAACAGCAGGGAGGTGTCAGTGTTTCTCACATTTTTTGGTATGGATGGAATTATTCATATGAAAAATTTCAAGAAAAATATATATAATATATGTATAACTAAAATATATCCTCATAGGGTTGGTAGATTTTAGTAGTAGTAAATTAATAGTATTGTAGTAGTTAGAAAATATTGATACACTGAAGTATCGCAATATTTCATTTCATGGTACCATATCGATGTTCTACATCACACTTTTTTAGTAACAATTAAAATGACCTTTGACACCAGACCACAACCTGCTTCTTTGTCTGGTCTAAGGACAGAAATCCACTTCCTGACAAATGTTAAGTTTCAATTTTGAAAAAATGAAAAACATCTTTTACAAAGAATCAATTGTTTTACCAGGTTTTCCATCTGATTTGGTCAAATTTGAGGAATTTGCTCATTAATAATGTGTACTTTTATTTAAAAACCAAAACAAATCAAAGGTGACAAAGTTTTAATGACGAAACTTCACTTTGACTTTGACCTCGTTTCTGGTCATATTCTGATGATCAACAGTTCCAAATGTTTCACAGTGGCCTTTGAACAAAGCCAACCTTCTGTTGTGTTGTGTTGTTTATCTCAGTGTCGGTGCTAATGAACTGGTTTAATAACTGTGACATTGAAGCTGTCGGTCACATGATGGAGTCAGTGGGCAAACAAAGCCAGGACATGTCTCAGCAGAGGACATGTAGGACGGACTTATCTTTTATCTCGCTTCCTTCTCAGAAGATCTTTGTTCACTGTGTAGCAGGTTTGGTCAATTTTCAAATCTCAGACGTTGGTTTAGGTTTGAGAAGTTTTGGAATTCACAGCATAAAGATTAATCAGAATATGAACCGGAGGAGCAAGCGCAACGCCCCGTCGATGTTGGGCTGAGTGGCATGTTGTTGTGGTCGCACAACTTCAGCTGTGCAGCTGCAGAAGTACGAAAAAGAGGAAACCACATAACTAAGATGCCGTTTCAGTGGGACTTGTTGACAGTTAATGTGTTAGTAAAAAAAAGGGATAACTTTTATAGCTTGAACCCTCAATGTTTTAGCAATAGTATATACTCACTTCATCGCTGCATCTTAGTGTCTTCTTTAATTCTGCTGAGAGTGCTACCTTATGTCATGGCAGAAACAATATTGACAACTGAAGGAAGTAATGGTCTGACGTTGGAGGAGTGAGAGGTTAACAACAGGAAGGAGACTCAAAAGGAACCAGTGAATGCAGCAGACGGGTGTGAGAGGAGCTAAGTAAGAGCAGCATGACAAAGTACGACAGAGTAGGTATGAAAATATGGATCTGCAGCTTTTATGATCATTCGATTCTGTGTTTCTGCCCAAACATTTAGTGGTTGGTTACAAGTTCTGTTATTGTGTGTTATCCAGTGCGTGATTTGTCCGTGTTTGAGCTGGCGTACATGTACCCGCAAGACTGTGACTGGAACCAACAGGGCTATTTTAAAAACAAACTAATGCTCCTCGATCACGGGGTTTAATCATCTTGGGGACCGGTCTTCTGATTACAGTGGAGGAGGTGTAGATAAAGCCTTACATTATTCAAAGGTGTAATTAAGAAGCCTGAACTTTGCTAACACTGAAGCTTGCTCTCTAGTCCTCTCTCTTTTTTTTTTTGTCTTTTTCGCAAATGTTGACTCAGAGGGTTAGCTCATAGTGATCTCGCGTTTCTTCTCTGTCACGTCTGAGATGTTTCCATGGCAGCTGGCGATGTCTACAGAGATCTGGTCGTCACCAGGGAGCCATTTTGTGGGTTGCTAGGCGTAAGAGTAAGGCGGGTGAATCCTTTTGTGCTGGAGAATCGAATTTCTTTCCTTCAGTAAAGTTTCTGTTTATATAGAGAAGAACCTCAAGGTCCTGTCTACACTTGAACATTCAGATCCTGTTCTGTACTCCTGGAAATATACTGTTCCTCCAGACCAAGGGACACTCTTTTGAGTTTTCCACTGCTTCAGTGAAACATTTTTACACATCTGTTGTTGTTGTCAGTCCACTTTACTGAACATTCATTTAAAAAAAAAAGACCTTCTGTAGTAATAGTGTTGACTTCTTCATCATGTCCAGATTTGTTGGTGATGTCTGGATGTCTGGAGGCCTGTTTTTGTATCTTATCTAACCTTTGACTTGTATGTAGCTGTGTCTGTGTGTAGATAACATAAACACCAGATTTACATTTTTCTGTCACTATTTTACATTTGCTAAAGAGTTTTTTATTTGAACAAATCAGAAGTCAAAGATGTTGTTTTTGAGGAGTCAGTCCTGATGGAGAACAAGGCTGCTGCCCTTGCTCCAGTTTCTAAGTTTGTCTCCCTGAAGCAAGCGTGGGATCTAATTAACTCATTAACTTATTTGAGGCTTTAATTCCTTCTGAGCAATAGCACAGTGCAGCTGATCTAATCTAATTCATAATCCTGTAATGACATTTGGTTCATTCCTCCACCAAACTAAACATTTATTCAGGGACAGAGCAAACACCTCAGTCATAGTCTCATAAATGACGAGTGCCTTTTCATTACAGTCCACGTGCATGTGTTCTTCATCCAATCACTAATTCTCTATGAGTGCACGATTTTCATGAGTGCTTTTTTAAATTTATTTAGTTTTTATAAACTTCACCTTTTTCTTTAAATTCACAGGCGAGTCCAAGAAGTTTGATCCCAATTTCAAAGGGCCGATCCAAGACAGGTGCGTGACTTTAATAACAGACAAAATGTCCTCAGTAGGAGGTGACACTTTCAATGCTTTTGCCTTGTGTGTTTCAGGAGCTGCACAGATGTTCTCTGTTGCATCCTCTTCATCCTGGCCCTTCTGGGTTACTTTGCAGTGGGCATCATTGGTAAGGCTGAACCTTCAGTTCACACAATTTTAGTGGAATTGTTCTCTCTTGTAATGTCAATAACTTCCATGTGTCCTGTAGCCTGGTCTCAGGGTGATCCCAGGAAGGTCATCTACCCCACTGACAGCAGGGGGCAGTTCTGTGGACAAGCAGGGACATCCCTGGAGTAAGTCAAGTCAAGTCAGTTTGATTTGTGTGGGCCAGATTCACTAAACACAGCTCATATTCACTGTGTTGAACACTGCAACTAGAACTTTGACCTTAACCAGTTTTCTCTTTTCACTACCAGGAAGAAGCCATTCCTCTTCTACTTTAACATCCTGAAATGTGCCAGCCCCCTGGTGCTGCTGGAGTTCCAGTGTCCCACCACTCAGGTCAGACACTGAAGGCCCAGCTTGTTGAGGTTCAAGTTGACTTCCTTCATCTGACTCATGCCCACTGTTGTTGTTGTTGTTGTTGTTGTTGTGTAGTTATGTGTGGAGAGCTGTCCGAACAGACATATGACGTTGGTGAAAGCCAAGGTGGGCAGCATGGAGGACCGTGAGTACTACAAACAGTACTGCAAGGAAGGAGTGGACTTTGCAAAAATGGTAAGAAAAAACTTACATTACCAAGTAAATGGTCAGAAAAACACTCATGTTAACTCTGAATATACAGTGCATTTCAATGTATGCACTTAAACAGACAATATTTAACAGAAAATAATTACACTTCAAATGTATGTACATGTTCACAGTGTTGCAGAAATTCTAAATGTTTGTTTCAAACGACTGTGCTTATCAATGTGCCTTTTTTCTGTTTAGCCTAGGGGCCTTT